CTCTTTTTTTTAGAGTTTTTTTTTTGTTGTTATTTTTTCGGACTCTAATGACAAAGTGTGCTTTTAACAAGCATTTCATCAATTGCTTTGCTTGTCGTCCGCTTTGCTTGTAATCACTTGACACGCTTGACACAAGACTTTTGAAAGCATTGCACCTTTTCTCGCTTCAAAGACCCTCACAGCCAAAACATTGCTTGCTCTATTGGTAGCACGGCCAAGCATTGCACGCTGCATGCTCAAATGGCATGACAGAGGTGGTCGGATATCTGCTCAAAGCGGGTGTCAGCATCAACCGTTTAAATGATGTGTGTCTCGTGTTACCTCTTAGCTGCTCCCTAGTCGTCCCCCTCAGGCATGCAAACATGAATGCGCACACACATACACCTTTGGCAGCTCTGACAGCATGCTCTTGATACACAGGCTGGCAACTCGCCCCTATACCTGGCCTGCATGCATGATCACTTGGATGTTGTTAAGCACTTGCTTGAACACGGAGCAGACGCGCGACTGCCCGATATTGTAAGAGTTGTTTCGTTTCATCTTGCGCCTTGCGACTGCCTAGAACTGGGCTTGCTCTGCAACTAACGCTCTTGTTGTGGATCTGGCCTTGAATCCAGTTGGGCCACACTGTTTTTCACGCCGCGGCTAGCACGGGCAATGCGGAAGTGCTAAAATTGTTGTTGAGATCTGATGCGAGCATTTGGACTTGCACCTGGGTAGGTCAAGCACTGTCCTCCTTTGGCCTCGGTGGCAAATGAAAAGCTCACAAACTTCCATTTGACACACTTGGCCTGTAGCTGCACGCCACCCCTCTCCATGTAAGCTGTAGCAACGGGCGCGTCGCTGCAACGCGTTTTTTACTCGAGCAGGAACCCAACCTTTTGGAGGCCCAGCAATCGGTAGGCATGTCATTGTAGCCTTTGAGAGGTCTGTCGAGCAACACATGTGACTCACTTCTTGTCCATCCCCATCCAACCAGTTTGGAGACACCCCGCTTCATTGCGCCGCACGTATGGGCCATGAAAATGTTGTGGAACTTTTGCTGGAAGAATTCCACGCCAAGCCCGACGTCACCAACATTGTAAGTGAGGCGGGCATGCCTTGTCAGCGAGAAGATGACAGCTGGTCGATTGTTGTGCTCTGGTATCTTGTGACCTTACCATATTTGCCTCTCTATAGGACGGTCGTACACCACTGCACTTGGCCTGCCGCAACGGCCGTGTGGAGGCTGTGCAACACCTGCTTCGCCACACAACAGCAATCAACCTCAAGGATAAGGTCAGTCAAGAACGAAGACATCTTGAGTTTAATTGTCAGGAGACCGCACACTCTGCTTCCTTTCATCAGCTACTTTCTTCATTCCTCAACACTTTCTGTTGCGTCCAGAATGGCCAGACACCCCTACACGAGGCGTGCTTTTACGGTCATCCCAGCATTTTACATCTTCTGGTGAACCACCCGCAAATCAAAGCCACCCGTACCAAGGTACGATCATGTTTTCAAGCCCTGCCGCGCAGGCTTTGGGGTGGTTTAAAGACCAAAAACACAACACAACAACTTGCTTGCTCGAGCTGGGTGGATATGGTTAAGTGCCTCATCTTTCACGTTGCAAATATTGTAGAGGGGTTTGTCACCGATGCACCTGGCCTGGCAGCAGAGAAATCAAGCAACCGAGGAAGACAGTCAAAGATACCTGGACACACTGCGCGAGCTGATTGCGGCCAAGATGGGTCTCAACAGCAAAGACAAGGTGCGACCTCTGGCACCATCTGTACGGATGATGGTTGCGTTGCTACTAGACTGTCACACACCCAATATGAATGTCTAATGGCCTTTGTGGATTTGGTCATAGACGGGCGCGACGCTGCTGCACCTGGCATGTCAGAAGGGAGATGTTGCCGTTGTGGACGCATTGCTCAGCCAGGGCGCTGATGCCAATGCTATTAACAAGGTGCGATATCAAAGCTTTGTTGGATTAGATTGGCGTCTGTGCCGCTCTGGCAGTGTACTTTGCTCAGCTGACAGCTCGGGTGCTCTAGGCAAAACAAACACCTGCTGACATTATTTTGCTGAGCGGATTGACCCACGAAATTCGCGTTGTGAGTGTGACCGGTCCCACTGACCATCGCTTGTGGTTGAACACCTCGGCAACAACAGGTCTGCTTGATTTATCTCTCACACGATTACCTTGTGTGATTCACAGAAACTCTTGAACATGGTGTTGCGAGCAAGGTCTTGTGGAGCGCACGACTCGACCGTGGAGCCGGAGGATCGAAGCTTTAAGCTAGAGCTGCACGCCATTCAAGACGACATTCTCAGACGACGTCTAGCGGTGGTCTTTGCCGTAGGGTGGCGCAAGCATCCCCGGCTCTTTAGCCACGACGCCTTTGCGGCCCTATCGTCAAGTCGAACTAACCTGGACGATGACCAGGACTTTTCAGAGTCTTCTAAATCTCAAATCTCTCCAAGCTGTTCCCAATAAACCAGGCAGCAAGCCCATGCTGATCGGCCAAAGAGTGACCGGGGTGGCCTGCATGCTTTGGAGTGTTCATAGTGCATTTATTATTTTGTTTGATTCTTGTAATTGATAAAAGCCGTACCCGTTCCAGGCACGAAGAGTGCCCAATTTTGTTTCAAGTGTCAACGAGTACCAGGGTCAACTAACTGGCTCTTTTCAACGCTGTTCGTAATTATCACGGGTAACTCTGCACATCAAAATGTCACTCGCTCTGCGACGGACCAACAGGGTAAATGAAGACATACGCTCATGTCGTCCTCCGTCGCTGGACCCTTTTCTCCTGGTCAGTGGCTCTTTCCGGTCGGCGCCGCTTCTGCGCTTGCTCATCCATACGAGCACAGAAAGAGAGAGAGAGAGAGAGAGAGAGAGAGAGAGAGAGAGAGAGAGAGAGAGAGAGAGAGAGAGAGAGAGAGAGAGAGAGAGAGAGAGAGTTAGAGATTTAGAGAGAGAGATTTAGAGAGAGAGATTTAGAGAGAGAGAGAATTGAATTGGTTTGGTCGGTTTGAGAAATAAGAGAGATTTAGAGAGAGAGAGATTTAGAGAGATTTAGAGAGAGAGAGAGAGAGAGAGATTTAGAGAGAGAGAGATTTAGAGAGATTTAGAGAGAGAGAGAGAGAGAGAGAGAGAGACAGAGAGAGAGAGAGAGAGAGAGAGAGAGAGAGAGAGAGAGAGAGAGCAATCTGTTTATGCCGCGCGTGTGTCCATACACATGTAAGTGTGTGTGTGTGTGTGCCAAAAGTGGACCCCTTCCATACAAGCAGCATTTTTTGCTTTGTTGGCATCTTTATTTCTTCTTACAATTCCGTCCTCATCAAGTCAAAAACAAATTTTTTCGCCATCATTTCGTCATTTTTTGTTACGCGACATAGGACTTGAGGGTGCTGTGAGTGCCGGTTCGGCTCAGACACAGACACAGAGACAGACATATGTACAGCCACAGACAGACAGACACACACACACACGCACACACTGTGCAGGCATCTTGGGTTTGTGGCGACTGAATAGTGAATGGCGCTGGTCGTTCACAGACTAGAACTCATTGTTCTTCTGATTTGGCACCTCAACCGCGACTGCCACGCATGCTTTAGGACCCTAGCAGGGATCGGCCGGGATGAGCTCGGTCGATAGAGAGCAGCCTTGGCGGACAAAAATTCACAAAAGGCATTTGAAGCGTTGGGCAGCTGGCTGCCTTTTCGCAGAGATGAGGTATGTCTTTGAAGGGTGTTGCGTGCCCTCGTTAATTCTGCGAGTAGTGAGGAGACTGCCTGCTGTGTTTGAACTGTCTCATTGAGACGTACCACTCCACGGTGGGATGCTGGATAGTGCCCAAGTCTACGGCCAGGCCAAACACCACTCCATGCTGCCTGCGAAAACGGCCTCGTGCGGATGGCGAAACGCCTCGTAAAGCAAGGCGCAGACGTGGAGGCCAGGGACAAGGTCTGTCTCCCATCCACCCTGGGCGAATCAAAAAATGAAAGTTGGATATGATTTGACCTGAACAACCAACTTCTCAGGAGGGCAACACACCACTGCTAAGTGCTTGTTTTAAAGGCCATGTGGATGTGGCAAAACTTCTGTTGGAGCATGGTGCTGATGCCAAGGCCAAAACCCACGTCCGTTCTCATGCTCTTGGCACCGTTCCCCTTCTGTCAGCGCCTTGCGCTTAGACCCTCTGTGAATGCCCTCTTTCACTGCCGGGTCGCTTAAACCTGCATTTTTTCCTCTTCGTTTCGTGACTCAAGCGTTCATTCGAGGAGGGCTGGTCCGTTTACATACAGAGTGGTAAAACAGCGCTGCATGGCATCTGCGACTTTGATCATGTACAAGTATTTGAGACCTTATTGAGCCACGGCGCAGATGCCAACGCCACTGATCAAGTCAGTGCTAGAAACGCCTTTTTTTTTTTTTTTTTTTCCTTGATCGGGCGAACCCCAGGTGCTCGATGGCGCTCGCACCGTAGAGGCTGGCCTTTAGTGTTTGCTTGGTTCATGATGCTGCCACTCTTACAACTGGCTCTCAACGCTGATCTGGGTGGAACTGGAACATGCCATTGCACAGCGTGGAAACACGCCACTACACGACGCGTGTTTGTGTGGGCGCAAAACGCAGGCCATAGAAATCTTGTTAAAGCGCGGTGCTGATATCAACGCCCAGGGCGAAGTTCGTACTTGCCCTTTCTTGCGCCTGCCCTCTGCGTCCAAACATCTGCAGTGTCAACGTCTTCACTAGGTCCACGAATGTATCATGGTGAAGGGCGATACTCCGCTGCACGTTGCTTCCAGGCACGGCCTTGTCCCGGTAGTCAAGGTTCTGTTGAATCGTGGTGCAGATCCTAACAGCCAAAACTGACTCAGTCCTTTATCTTCCTGCTATTGTTACGGTAGACTGGAGCATGCCCTCCTGTCTCTCCAGCCCCAGCGTTTCCCCACCAGGCTCTACTCGGTTCCCTAACCTGAAGGAAGTGTTCGCTGGCGTGACCAAAATGTTGCGCACGACTGGCTTGCTGTCCCCTTGCAGGCTGGTGAGAGAGCCCTGTACCTAGGCCACGCTAAGGTGGTTACAATTCTCTTGGAACACGGCGCCCTGGCGGATGCCAGAGACAATGTTAGCAACCCCAATTTGAAGCCGTCACCATGCCTGCAGGCGTGGTTCCAAGGCTTGGAAGGGCTTCAAGGTGCCATGACTTGGCAGGAAGACATTGAAAAAGATCTTTATATTCAAACTTATGTCGTTGGTTTATCGCCAACGGTCATACCACATGGAATACACCGGCTCTCGTCCGATCGCCGCAGTTAAGCCATGTTGGGCCATGCTAGTACTATCGTGGGTGACCAGATGGGAATACATCCCCTCCTACTAACTAGTCTCAAACAGAATCACAAGGTTATGCCCAAGTCAAAGCAAATCGTGACAAATGGTAACAAAGTCGTGGCATGATATCAAAAAGTCATGAGCAACTGCAAAACAATCACAACTGTTCCTTTCGAAATCGTAAGCAACACTTTCGGTGATGAAATCGCGAGGATCATTCAATTTGAGCTGCGCAAAGCAGCTGATGCTGCTCGGCGAGCTCGAGCCTGAGCTTTGTCACGTTGTAGTAGCAACCGCTTATTTTCACATGTAGATTTAAAGTCATTCACGTTAGCATCGTCTTCTTGGCTGGCGGCAACGGCTCGAGCAGTCTGGCGGCGAGTTCGGGAGTTGTCGACAGCCATGTCCATGATTGGCGCGAGCTCGAAGGATTCACGCCTGTGTCTCAAGATTCCGCCAGTTGCAGCCCTGATCTGGTCATAGTCTTGTTTGTCACGAATGCGTAGCTGGTCGCGGCGAGCTCGAGCCTCATCTTCATTTACGGCGCCATCCTGCCAGGCTTTCATGTACCTGTGTGTGTCACGGATTGCTCCTTTCAACATATCTTTTCTCAGGTAGGATCCAAAAACAACGTTGAGAATCTTCTCGAGCCTCTCTGAGAGGCGCGTGTAGCCAAAGCTTGATGAACGCGCGCGAATGCCTTCTGCAGCATATTTGACGGAACCAAAAACGGTCTCAATGGGAGCGAAGTCGGGCTGGTATTTTGGCGTTGGGACAACAAGAACCGGACCACCGTACAGCTCACGATCCAACTCATAGTAAATGAGCGGTGAGTAGCGCTCATCAGTTTCTGGAATTGTGCTTGAGGCGCGCACAAACACCTTTTTCGTATGTTCAACACCATGAGAGCCGGACATGAGACTGAGAGCTTTATAATGATGTGGCACATTGTCCCAGGTCACGACCAGAAGACCTGAGCCATACTTTTTTCGCCAGGCAGAGATTGTGCCCTCCAAATAGCGCTGTGAACTCTCGCCTGTACTATTGCCAATGTTGGTACGCAAGAAAACGATCTCTCCGGAGTAGGCCAATGCTGCAAAGAAAGAGATCGACGAACGAGGCGCTGGTGCCACACTCCTTGCTTGTCCTTGAACGACCCAGCCTTTGTGTCGCGTTGCTTGGGTAGTCATCCAGCTTTCGTCCGCAGAGAGAAGAGCATGCTTGTTCGACGAAAAGAGGAGGTGCTCCTCGTCCAGGGCTTCCAGGAATGTAATGTAATTGAGGCAAGCCTCCTGGGTCTGTGGGCCGAAAGAATCATGTCGACGAGGACGTAGACTAACGTACTCGCTGTCAATTCCAGAATCCCGGTTTTGCTTCTTCAGATGATTGCAAATGGTGGCAAGGGAAACATGCCAAGGCTCGATCGAATCGCTGAGCTCGAGGGGCTTGTAACGCTTTGCGTAAAGATACTCACGAGCGTCCGCTGTCGAACCTCGCTTGCCGTATCGCATGACATACTCAGCCAAAATCTCTTCATCCTGAGCATCCAAAACAGAAGGGCGGCCAGATCGTGGTTGTTGAGGTTTGAGATGTGGTTCTTCTGAAGACAGCTCGCCTGCGGCGCGCATATTCAGGCGCTTCATATATTCGCGGCGCCATCTTGAGATCGTTGAGACTGATATCTGTTTTCCAATTCTCCGCTCGAGCACAGCGGCAATCTTGCTATCAGAAAACGATTCCTGATGCTCATCGACCTCATCCAGTGCTACCAAGAAAGCCCGGCGGTCGCTGTCCGAATAGCGGCCAACGCGCCTTCCCACTCGGTTTTTTCCACAGTCGTTTGGGCCCCGGGTGCGTGCAGCTTCCGAGGCAGCTTGGGGGGGCGATACTGACTCCGAATCACTGGCAGGGGCGTTATCAGCAAAGCCCCATGGTGCACCACTGCCAGGGACATCATCACCCAACGATTCTGGCAAGCTCAGCAGGTGATCAGGTGGAGCATGCTGAACTGGCGTCTTGAACTGCCGCCGTGCACGTCGCCTTGACATCTCAACTTTCAACGGAAAAACATTGAGTGTTGCTTACGATTTCGAAAGGAACAGTTGTGATTGTTTTGCAGTTGCTCATGACTTTTTGATATCATGCCACGACTTTGTTACCATTTGTCACGATTTGCTTTGACTTGGGCATATCCTTGTGATTCTGTTTGAGACTAGTTAGTAGGAGGGATGGTGCTGTTGGCCTCTTGATATTTTTTTTCTTGCGACGATTTTAGCTTCTTCTTTTTCTTTAACATTTTCAGCAAAGGTTTCCTTACGCGAGATTATCACTTCTTCATCTGCTTGATATTCTTCGACATTAACTTTTGTGCCCTTGGTGCGTTCTTGTGGGCAGGGCTAATTCGATCATGCGCAAGACTTGATCCTGGTGCGAGCGATAATAAGGGGTCACTGGTTGAGGGGGAGAGCAGAGTGCCGGCGTAGAGACAGCAAGTCAAAAGCAGCAGGGTATACATGGAGACTAGATAAGGTTGAGGACATGGCGAGGGCGTTGTCAGCATGGAGTCAGGGCAGAGTCAGGGCAGAGTCAGGGTAGAATCAGGGCAGAGTCAGCCTGGAATCAGCGGAGAGTCAGCGTAGAGTCAAGAAACTCGTGGTGACCCACCCCTGTAGCACCACCCAGACCCAAGCATGTCTCTTATCCTGCTTTCAGATGATAGCCACCTCCGCTTAAAATCACTTTTCTTCGACAGAAACACCTTAATCCGCTAGGGTTAAAATGGGCATAAAGTGCAACAACCTCAAATTATTCGCCATAAACTTAAAAGCAACACCTGACACACTTTCGTCTATTTATAGGGGCTTCCTTACGAGAACAAAAGGGTATGTTCACGATATTTGTCAAGTATCGTACTACACTCCGCCACACCCGACCCCTCATAAGCAAATCTCATAAGCAAAATCTCATAAGCAAAACCTCAGAAGCAAAGTCAGGTTTTCAAGCAGAACCCCAGGACCGAGGCTGCTGCCAGCAGCTCATATGAGCAGTTATGACCGTTGCCTCTTTCTTCTTATTCTCAGGAGATCACGATGACAGCACCAGCCCAAAAGCCAAGGCCCTTGCATCTCGTCTTTGCCTCTTCACCTCTTCGCCTCTTCTTCAAGTGCAGGCGACTCGATGAGCTCGGCATTTTTCTACTGGAGATCATCCACGACTGCATCCGAGCTCTAGGACCACACCCACAAACTCGCCGCCGTATCGCTGCGCCTGCACACCGGCCACCGGCTTGATGCTGCGCCACATCGCCATTGTCGCCCTTGCGGCGCTACTCTCACTGCCTCCCTCGGCCTCGCAATCCATTGATTCCAATGCTGGTCAGAACTCAAACGCTGACTCTTCCCCACCTCTCTCGTTCTGCTGCTTCTGGATGCCATGCCGCGTCAGTGTCGTATGCTCACATCTGCCGAATTCTCTCGTTCCCATTTCTCCTGCCTCCCTGCCGCCCTGATAATAGTGCTTGAAGCCATCAAGGATCATTTGCATCCCATCTGCACCTCTCATGGTGTCAGCGTGATTGACAACGCAACCAATACCAAGACGTGCCTGTGCGACAGCAGCTACGCGGGTGACTCCTGCGAGTAGGTTTTTTTATTTTTTTTATTTTATTTTTTTTTTTGTGACGTTGCGCATTCTGCTCCGCCCACACCAAGCCCTTACCAATGGCCTATCTGCACTCTGTAGCGAGTTCGTGGGCGTGGGCATACTGCGCTGTGCGCTGGCGGGTGATGTGCCCCTGCTTCTCACCGTGCTTGAAGGCGTGACGACGCTCCGTGGCGACCTTGTCATGTCGGATGGCTGCGTGACGGCTGATGCCATCACCGCCGTGGGCAAGCTCACCAAGATCGATGGCAGCGCTTTCATCTATGACCCGACCACACCGACCCAGCTTGCCACGGACTGGCCCGAAAATCATTGGGAAACTGTGACCGGCTGCATCACCCTGGCCAATCTGCCCGAAGCCGGCCTTGTTGGACGCACGCTCTTCCCTGATCTCACTGAGCTTGGTGCTTGTTCACTTGACGAGGTGAAGAGCAAACTGCCCTCGGCCTACTGGGACACGTTTGTCAATCGAACCATCCCGCCTCAAATCTCGATGATGCTCAACCACATTGGAGCGGACAACGAGGCCTGTGTCAGCGGCTGTGACAACATTTCCCTTGCTTCTAAGCTGCGCACGATGCCCGGTGCCCTACTGCTAGATGACCTGCCCGCCCGATACCTCAACGAAGGTCTTCTGGAACACGTGGGCGGCCTGCACGTCCGCAACTGCCCCCATGTTGAAATCTTGGGCACGTCCCATCTGGCGACCATTGGCGAGCACGGCCTGCTCCTTCGTGAAACCGGCCTGAAGAACCTTGACGACCTGGCAGGGGTTCAAGTTGTTCGACTTGGCTTTGTGGATATCACAAGCAACGACCACCTGGAGAATGTGCTGGGCTTCAACCCGACTGTTGTCGAGCGCAGCGGCACGGTCAGCACCTCTGTTGAATTTCAGCTCGTATGCCAAAACGGCTATCATTCAGGCTTTCCCGAGACCGAGTGTACTTGCGCCTCGCCCGAGTACTCGGGCAAGCTGTGCGACACCATCACCGGTGACTTTTTCTGCATGGACTTTGCCCAAGCCGAGACCCTCAACCAGACCCTAGCCAACGTGCGCCACGTGATTGGTAACATTCATCTGACTGACACGTGCATGGAGATGTCGTTCCTCAACTTCCCCTACCTCACGAGCATTGAAGGCAGCCTCATTGTCAACTCCTTTGGCATGCCCATTGTCGAGCCAGGCTTTCCGAGTTTGAAGTCTGTCTCGACCGTGCACATCGAGTCTGTACCCGCAACCAGCATCGATTGGCTGCCCGAGCTCGAGACGGTGGGCTCGCTGAGCATCCAGAACAACGACCAGCTTACCAACCTGTCGGGACTCGCCACGCTGACCACCATCGACGAGGCACTCGAGATCTTTGCGTGCCCTGCGATGACCTCGTTTACCGGTCTCGAGAATGTGGCGCGCATTGGTTCGCTCTCCATCATCTCATCGGACCTTTTGACCAACTTTTCAGCCCTCAACGGTGCCGAGCCGGTGCTTCTGCTCGGTCAGAACTCTGCACCAGCTCTGAGCATTGATGCGTGCGCAGATTGCGAAGCTCTTTGGTCGCACTTGGTGGAGACGGTCGAGATTGCTGACGGCGCCAGTGTCAGCGTGCCGTGGTCTACCTGTGGCGGCTTTGGCACGGTGCCGGCTGGTAGCCTGTCTTGCGCCTGTAACCCAGGCTACACAGACTACATGTGCACCGGCTACAACGGCGATGACTTGATCTGCAACGTGTCGACCGCCAGTGACATCAAGGCAATGCTTGCTGGCGTCACCCACCTCTACAGCCCTCTAGT